AGGTAAACAGGGAAGAAGAAGAAAAAAGAGAAATACAGCAATAAGACTGAGCCTGTCACCCCACACAAAGAATGGTGGCCTCTGTAAAAACCTAGGCCTTTTGATTACGACCAATCTACCTACAGTGAGTTTTAGTGTGGGTGCTTTACGCTCAGGTTTTGATTCTTTGAACCAAAATCCCATCTTGTAGTGGGCAGGATTTATAGATTTGCTCTCGGTAACGTTGTGAAGGAGATCACAAAGTCCCTGTTTTGGTGATTGGTGGAAATGTAATGCATGCCCACCGGCCATGTTTGACTAATACTCTAAGTAAATTGCTGTCTGGTCACCATGGACTGTGGAAATAGGGAATCCAGGCCTGGATGAATCAGCAAGTCAGACTACTTGAAAAGCTGTTACTTAAATTTGAGCCTTTTCTTTCCAATTTTGGTCACCGAGAATGTGATTTCATATCCAAAACTGAAATCAAGCCACAGCAAATTATCGGAACAGTTCATGCCAGAATTACCCAATGCTTTTGTTCTTTTGAATACTGGTAATTCAGGACTAGGTAATTGAAGGATCCAGGGAGGCTTGAATTATGCTGATATTATTCAAATAAATGCCTCGCGTTAACATTTTACTTGCTACCGACTCAGCTCTAATCATGCTGCGTTTTGTCCCATGGAAAGTGTTCTTTTTTGGTATTTTTGACCATGGCCCCCCTTATATTAAAGCAGAAATACTCTGTTAATGTCTAAGTGATGATATTATCTTTAGACCCTAACCTAAGCCTTCTTTTTAACGTTTATTTATTTTTTATTTAATTTTTGGTTCAGCTGTTCTTGGTACATGTCATAGTAATGCTAGCATTATAACAAAAACTAGATGCCCTCTGCACCACCTACCCTGTGTCTGCTTCCGCTTTCCTGAATCAGTCATTTGGCTTTCCCTCAGAGATATTCTCTTGTATTCTGTATGGCCACTTCACATGCTCATACAGCTTTTCAATTCTAGATATTCTCCCTGTTATGTATTGGCACTCTACTATAGAAGGTAAAAAAATGATAGCTAACAGTTATAATGCATTATATGACTGTTTTAACCTTCACAACAACACAATAGGGTAGATACTGTTATCTGCAGGTTGGAAACCAAGGTGCAGAGAGATTATGTATCTTGTCCAAGTTCATACAGTAAGGATAATAATAAATTGTGGGGCCAGGATTCTGAAAATCAATATTCTTCACGATGAACCAAACTTGTCTCACTCTGTTTCAGCACCCAACACCACCCCTCACCCAACACACACACACACACACACACACACACACACACACACCCCTACCTACTTCCTCTTCCCACTGTTAATATAGTTGGGATTAAATATATCTTTGAGATTAAATCCAGTACATGGTGCTTAGTATTACTATGGCTATCTAAATATGAATCACACTGAATCCGTGCAGTATGCTATATCGTATTCCCTTTCTAATTAAAACATCGCATTTTCTTAGGACACAGTAATTTGGACTTCTTAGTTTTCAATTCATTTCTTAACATGAAAACTTCTTTCAGTGCATTCAGACAAATCAGGCATCTCTCAGTTGGTCTGTTCATAGAGACAACCTCTTTCCTCCTGCCCCAGTCTGGACTGCTGCTACGTGGCAGTGCTATATAGCTGTCTTCCATGAGTTTCCCATGTATGTTTTTCTGGGAGTTCCTTTTGCTTCTCTCCTGTCTGGAGCCCTATTTCCAGAATCTGTCCTTTCTTGTGTTTGGTATCCTTTCTCTCGTTTTGGCAAACAGATCTCCTCATTCCTAGGGAGGTGAATAGATGCTAAACTTGTTGTGACTTTGCCTGTATGAAAATGTCTTCAATGTGCCCTCAGACTGGATTGGTTGTGTTTGGCTGGGTATAGAATTCTAGATAGGAAGTTATTTCCCCTCAGAATCTCGAACACACTGTTTCATTTTCTTCTTTCTCCTGTTGTGTCTATTGGGAAGCTCCATTCCTCTCTAATTACGAATCCCTTGGAAGTTGTTATGATTTTTCTCTTTATCCTCTGTATTATGATTTCTTGATACTTTGTCATGATTCCATTTTCATTCCTGACATGTGGCACTTGGAAGGCTTTTTTCAATCTGGAAACCTACATGCTTCAATTCTGGGAAGTGGTTTTATACAGTGTCTTTGAGTGTTTTCTACATTGTAATTTCTCTGTTCACTCTGGAAATCGTATTACTGTAATGTTGGACACACTGGGTCGATCCTCACATTTTCTGTTTTTCTATCTTCATCCATAGTTTTCCTAGTTCTTTTTCAAGTATTTATTGAAATGTATCTTCCAATATTTCTAATTTTTTAAATTTTTGCTGTAAAGTGTTAATTTCTAATAGTACCTTGTTGGTTTTCTCTTTGTTTCCTTTTTTATAGCATTATACACGCAAGACTTACTTAAATTTTACAATTAAATATAAATGTTTATTTTTGTCTTTCTTCCTTTTTGCAGTAACGGTGGCATGTGATATACAGTTTTGCTTCTTGCTTTTTTTCGCCTGATGTATTAAAGGTCTTTATGTATTCACGTATAAAGAGTTTATTTGTTTCCATAGCTACATAGTATTTCATTGTACAAATGCACTATTTTTAATCCTTCATTTTTTTGATATTCTGGTCATCTTCTTTTGACTTACAGCATCTCTTTATATTTTATATATTAGAAAGACTAACCCTTTGTAATATGAATTGCAGACAGTTTTTCTTGTTAAAAATGTTAAAGTTCTCATTGTCTCCCTCTGTTATCTCTGTTAACTTTGACTTCCATTTCTCTGCTTATTTTGGTCCCTGTCTTCCATAGTAGAACTTCCCTCAAATGTCTGTTGATTCCTACCTCATTTCTTTTAAAAAACAAAGCAGTAAAGTGGAGTAGAAGCTCTGACTTTATGGGTGAGGCCCTCTGACTGGTAGATGTTGTTTCACACACACTGGCGAGAACTAGGCTCTTTTGTTGGGAAAATCCTGAACTGGCAGTATTTGTAGGTCTTTTCTCTTGGCCAGTTGATTTGTCCAGCTAAGGAAACTATGGTCTCTTACTAGGGTCAATAATTTGAGAGAATTCATGAATCAGACTGATAGGAGATGGGTTGAGAATTATATTCTCGCCTTCTCACTTAGGGAAACTTTCATTTCATCTCCACCCCCCTTCAGCTGAATTCAGAGTCTCTCTGGTTCATGCCTTGCAATTGTGACCTCCAATTTTCCTTCACATTGGGATATGTCCAGTCACCTGGCTGCACTGGGTCAGAGAGGTAATCTGGGATATGAACTGCTACTTCCACAAATTTTTCAAATCAACCTCCCAGTTTCAGTAGCCACTTAGTACTCACTGTCACCAATCAACTTGTTGGGTTCCCTGACTGTAGGTCCAGATTTCTGCATCTTCTATTCTGCTAAATCATTTCCACATGTCCATCGACCTTCCTATATCTGAAAGAGTGTTGGTATTTTGTCTACTGTCATCTCCTTGCTCATGTCCTCATTCGTTGAGGTTTATGCCTTTTTTGTTTCTTTACTTTCCTTTTAGTGTTGTCTTATAAGAAAAGGGTGGCAAATGTGTGGATTTAATCCACCGTGTTGAATTGGAAGTCCTTCAGACATCTTTTAATGAGCCAGGATTTTCTTTCCCTTTCTTCCCTTTCTTGTCTATGGAAACTCTCCAGAGTTCTATTAGGGGCACCTGGCTGGCTAAGTCGGTAGAGCAGGTGACCCTTGATCTCAAGGTTTTAAGTTCAAGCCCCGTGTTGGTTATAGAGATTACTTAGAAATTAAATCTTTTTTTTTTTTAAGTTCAATTCGAAGAAATAATTAGAACTTTCAGATGGTTGGGGTGCCTGGGTGGCTTAGTTGGTTAAGCGTCCGACTTTAGCTTAGGTCATGATCTCGCGGTTCATGGGTTCGAGCCCTGCGTCGGGCTCTGTGCTGACTGCCAGCTCAGAGCCTGGAGCCTATTTCAGAGTCTGTATCTCCCTCTCTCTCTGACCCTCCCCTGCTCACGCTGTCTCTCTCTCTCCTAGAAATAAATAAAAATATTTAAAAAAAAAAAAAGAACTTTCAGATGGTGATGAGGATCACATATTTAGTAGAACCCTGAGAACAGACCACATGGTCTTTGTAAGCAAGCACAATTTTGAGGCTATAAAACCCCACCTCGGGTCTTCCGTCCACATGTGTCCTCATGTTAGCAAGTAGCATTCCCAGAAACACTGTTTTTATCTGATGTGGCAATAAGAGGGAATTTATTAATATGTAGGCTCCCCCACCTTCAGGAGAGAACTCGTCTCTGGAAGATTTTTATACCTGGAGTGTGAATGATATCTCATGAAAATGAACGCATCTCCCTGGAGGGAAATTCACTTAGGAAACAGAACTATTCCAAAGCTTGACGTGTCCTTTTTCCCAGAGATTCACTAGGTATCAAGTACTGAGGGAAAACATTGTTGCCCCTCGTATTTTTCTTTTTCGCCTAAACTTACCTACTTATGGTCTTCCAGTGTGCTACTACTCAGTAATCACATACCCCAAAAAAGAATCTTCTTTAAATGATTAAGACTCAGGCTTATTGGAGATTGCAGATGTCACCAGGGAATCCATGTCATTCAAATAGAAACAGCTCTTGTTTCTGCACGACCAGCGTTACTATACTTATTATCTTATTTGACTCTGACAAAATTCACTGGGCTAGCATTGTGCCTGGATTCCAGTCAGCATGCTTGAGAAATTACTTCCAGAGCTGAATTAAACAGTGTCCAATAAGTGTGTGTTATTACATGACTATAGCTTTTATTGTTTAAAGAGTGGTTTATATGAAAAGAAAATAATTTGCCTACTGGAATGAAGCGTCCTTCAGTGTGGTTTGTATGAGGATAATTTCCATTTTTTGGTGAGCTGTTTAGTGGTGGTGTCTTGTAACTTGACCATAGTTTTATCTAATTCTGGCCTTTATGGTTTCTCTTCTTAGGCATAATGACATCAATAGGAAAACGAAGAAATCCTACAGCATAAAGCACATTGCTGAGCCAGAGTCAAATGAGCTCTTCTTGTAAATCACTTTTTTATTATCTCTCCTTCCTGCCCTTGGGACCCAGTTTGGAAGTTTCTGGACTCTCCACTGTGGAAATAGAATCATGAGAACAATGCCTCACCAGCAGAAGAACAATATCAGGATGCCTTAAATTTATAATAGTTGACTATATAATACACATTTTGGGGTGACATTTGTATATATAACTTGTTTCTAAAGAGATGCTGTTTAAAAGCATGATTGGGCAAATGCTGTGTTTTTCTAAGTGTGGATTGGTTCAGCCTCCCCACACGATGTCCACCAAGCCACCGGTACCATCTTGTATTTCATCCATTGCATGGGTGTTCACTAATGTTGAACTTTCCTTTTTCAGTAAAATGGGCAGTTTTGGCTCAGCTCCTCAGTGAGATCAGGTCAGTGGTATTGTTTTCTGTCAGGAGTGTTTTTTCTTTCATTTCTACTTTTTGTATAAAGGAAATAAAACAATGTTAACAGCACCTATAAGCTCAAGACACCTACTTTCTAATCAGCCTATGATGTTCTGCTCTCTCAGGGACCTTGAGAATATTTTGATTGCTGATATTTTATTTCGGGAACAAACTGCCCTATTTAGCTATTTTCCCATAGGGGTGAAATAAAACATTCTAGTTTTCGTTAAGTACTAAAGGATCAGACAAGTATATAAAGTAAGTCAATTCCTTCTGTCTTCTCAAATCCCAGCGTTGACATGAGAAAATACTAATGACAGCTAAGGATTCAGCCCCTGCTTGGGTCACTTTTTCTGCCTATAACACATTGTGAGACCTGTCTAATCCCTTTAGGAGACAGTGTGGAGCCTGAGTTTATAACAACCCTATTGTTGATACAGCTCTTTCAAAGCATGTGGGCAGTAAGTTCCAGATGGTTTCGTCCTATCATGTAAAAATATATTTCTGTTGAAACTTCAAGAGTTTTATTTTCAAAGTGTTGGCGTGGCCCATAAGAGGCCTTCAGATTTTAGTTTGGAAGTCAAATGTGTTCTTACCAGGAGGAGGGAGCACTGTATGCTATTCACAGTTACTAGCAGTGTTTCTATGGCCATCTCTGGACCATTCTGTATCCCGGTAGACACCAGAGGCCAAGGGACTGAGTTGAGACGGGATCTTGCAAACGTGGATCATCTGACAAACTTAAGCTTGACAGGATGAAGGAAGATCTAGAAGAAGGGCCTGATACTCAAATGTCTTTAATGTACCAGCCACACTTATGTGGAGATATTACTGGTACCATTTTATAGCTTAGAAATTAAAACTTCTGAAAGCTTAGGTCCTATGTCCGAAGTCATGCTGCTTGTCAATAGCAGAATTGGCCGCGGCACAGGTGTGCTCATTATCGCCACCACACCCTCCCACCTGTCTGTCCAGCACCGTGTCCCACCCATCCTGCACTGTGTCCTCTCTTCAGTGTGTTACCCACTGGACTAGCACACAGGAATTATGAGCTGTAGTATTGTCTCCATTTCTGGACAACTCTGTGGTCATGGGCAAGAAACCTTGCCTCCTCAAGAAATCTGGAAAAGAGCAAGACCAGCCTGCATACGCATCTAGTAGGTAAGTTCCTTTTGACCTATAGAGCAACACGTGTAGGCATTTCAAGCAGTGTGCTGTTTCCTTGTTTGGGTCTTATGGGTTCCTGTTGGTAGAGCCCAGTGCCCCGTGTTGCTCTGCCATGCTCACCTTGTCGTTTCTTCAAATGAGATGCCCTTGTTTGATTTGGGCTCCTTGGCCTCAAGTATTTTTTCTCCTTTTTCACATTCCCTGCTGTGTCCTGGCATTGAGATTCTCATGGAGACTATATGGCCAGCACATGTGAAACATAGATTCCCGTGTTTTCCATGTGGTGCAGAAGAAATGACAGTGGAGTCACACAGCCAACCTTTTGGACTTAGTTCTAGAATGGAGCTTGCAATGGAAGGGGACCCAGAGAGTGCTCTCTCTGTCTCCCTGAGGCACCCCAGCTTTGTTCTTAGACAGACTGGACTTCTAAACCTAAAAGCTGAAGGGGGCTGGGCATTCTGCAGCGATTTTATGAGCCAGGCACCAAAGTCTCAATAAAACATAGAGAAAACCAAGAGTATGAAAGAAGAGATGCTACCTTGACTTAGAAAATTGGCATTTCAATTGTTTATTGACCCAAGCATTTCACTTATTGACTTTTTTAGTGTTTATTGATTTCTTAAAGTTTTTATTTATTTATTTGGAGGGAGAGAGGAAGAGAGAATCCCAAGCAGGTCCTGCACTGTCAGCACAGACTCCAACGTGGGGCTCCATCTCACAAACCACGAGATCATGACCTGAGCTGAAATCAAGAGTCAGATGTTTAACTAACTGAGCCACCCAGGCACCCCACACAAGCATTTCAGATACTACAGCACTAAGCCTAGAAGAGTAAAGAATTAAAAAAAAAAACGGTAAAATAGGAAAATCAAGGAGATGGAGACGAGCCAGAGTGCCAAGGCAACGCATTCTGTTTAATGTTGTTAGGACACCAAAGATGCTGATCCTAAATCATGCATGTTCACCATCTTTACCATCCACGTTCTTTATAAAATGGGTAAATGATGCTTGCTTAGAATAAATAGAAATGACATGTTCCTTACCCCAAGCTTAGTTTTGTGCAGACTTTGTAAAATGAACACAGAAACTCTTATTTCTTTATAGAGATGGAGACATACCTACATGTTAAAGAAAGACTGTGTTTCCTTTAAGTAAGCTGAACTCTGCCCACCCCACCCCACCCCCGCACCACCTCCCTCCCCCTGGGCTAGTAAAATGAGTGAAGCTCTATTTTCATGCCTAATTACATGCAGCAGTACAGGAAACTCAGCCCCACTATAAAAACCTCTCTCAGCATCTGTCTGCACCTTTTCAAGATTGGCTTCTTTTATGTCATGAAAGGCACTCGTATTGCCAAAGTTCAACACATCAAATTAAGCAGGTTTCTTAGAAAAGATAACAGAATACCAAACCTCCACCACTTTGACTGGATTGAATCCCCTTTCTTTATTCTCACCAAACAGTATCAAGACCTCAACTCTCCGAAGAAACTTCTAGAAGTGCATCCTGGCATTAGGAGTGGGGATAAGACTCTCAAAGGGCATCTTCAAGTAAATTTTGAAAGTTAATTTTTTTCCTCAAAGCAAATATTCGCAGACAACATACTGGATTGTACGGGCTAAAGGAGAGAACTATAAAATATTTAAATAACTGCCAGAAAGGCTCCCAGATACAGAATAGGTTAAATGTCATTTCCTCAGTAGCCACCTCTATGCATAATTGGACTTGAGCTAATAAGGCCAAGAATAAGGGATCTATTGCAACAGGACTGATACCATTTCCCCGCATAAAAATGCAGTCTGTGCTGTCTATTGCCTTAAAACTTTCATTTGTGGGGTGCCTGGGTGGCTCAGTCGGTTAAGTGTCCGACTTCAGGTCATGATCCTACGGTTTGTGGGATCAAGCCCCGCATCGGGCTCTGTGCTGACAGCTAGCCTGGAGCCTGCTTTGGATTCTGTATCTCCCTCTCTCTCTGACCCTCCCTTGCTCATGCTGTCTCTCTCTCTCTCTCTCAGAAATAAATAAAACATTAAAAAAAAAAACCTCTCATTTGTTGATTGGTCTCTCTAGAAGTCCTGTGTTATCTGGTTTTATTCCCCTTTATTCTTCACTGCACAGTTTAATGTAGCTTTTCGAGGGTTTTATTCCTGTCTCTTAATGAGACCTTATTTTTTTTCTAATGTTTATTGATTTTTGAGAGAGAAAGACAGAGTGTGAGCCAGGGAGGGGCAGAGAGAGAGGGAGTCCCAGAATCCAAAGCAGGCTCCAGGCTCTAGGCTCTGAGCCGTCAGCACAGAACCCGACACAGGCTCAAAACTCATAAACTGCAAGATCACAACCTGAGCCAAAGTTGGACACTTAACTGACTGAGCCACCCAGGGTCCCCTATGGTTTTTTCTATCTCAGCAAGACTTTTTATGTCACCTCCATCAATGGTGACTAGTAAATATCTACTGGCAATTTTTTTCAGTATTTTTCAACACCTATGACCCTTATATTCATCTTACTTTCTTCACATTTTCCCCCATTCTTCCACCCCTTCCTCCTCCTCCTTTCCCCCTTTTCTCTCTCTCCTTACTTCCCTCACTCCTCTTTGCTGACATCTCCACACCTTGTTTTCTCTTTCTCTGCCCTAGGCCCCCCCAAGATATGGAAACCCTCTGTAGGATCTTCCTTGGAAGAACCTGGCAGAGGGGTTGCAACATGGAAGCAGAAACCAGAGTCTTTCCATAGGACAATGGAGCCCATGCCAAAAATGGGGTCCTCTGCTAAACTGTGTCTTGGAATAAAAACAACACCCAGAAGGTGGCATTAACCACCGTGGGGGCGTACAAGAATACATAAGTTAACAAATTGTGTATTGGGAGGGACCTGGTGGGGGGGGGGGAAGTATTGTAATTGGTTCATAGCTTATTGGTTCTCAGTCGTTGCTGCACAGTAGAATCACCTGGGGGAGCTTTTAAAAACCTGATGCCCAAGCAGACCCAATAATAAGTAAATTCAGTTCTCTGGGTGGAACCCAGACATCATTATTTATAAAAACTTGCCCACAAGTCCAATCATGCCACCAACACCTTGCTACTCAAAGTGGGGCCAGGCAGCATGAGCATTGGCATCAGCTGAGAGCATCTGAGACCTGCAAAAGGATCTAGCACTCACCACGGCCTCTGCTTCTAATTTTGTGATGCTGTGAACGGTCCATTGAGAAAATACTTGAGAAGAGAGTTGGACAGGAAAAGACCCTTCCTCAAGGAGAGGGGAAGAATGAGGAGCCCCTAACCCTAGAGGCTGATATAAAGGGAATACTAGGTGTTTTAGGGAAATATCAGTGGGGCCATCACACTCTTTTTCTGTTGTATCTGTGTGTTTAATGTGTATCTGTGGACATCATGTTCAACTGTAATTTCCTATGCAGAAAGTTAAAAATCATGTAGAAAGGGAGGCTTCTTTCCTGGATGAGATAGGTAGAAGAAAGAACAATAATTTTTCAATAAGGGATGAGGTTGTTACACTTTTTAAATCTTTTTTTAATGTTTGTTTATTTTTTGAGAGGGAGGGAGAAACAGAGCATGAGCGGGGGAGGGACAGAGAGAGAAGATACAGAATCCAAAGCAGGCTTCAGGCTCTGAGCTGTCAGCACAGAGCCCGATCCGGGGCTTGAAATCACGAACCGTGAGATCATGACCTGATCTGAAGTCGGACACGTAACTGCCTGAGCCACCCAGGTGCCCCTACTTTTTAAATCCTACCGGGAGCAGCTTTCCCGTGGTTATTTCTCAAAGTTGTCTAAAATCTATACATAAAAAATCAAATCATCAGGAAGCTACCCATCTGGCAGTGGCCTAACCAAGACCAAACACAGCAAAGCAAGGACTAAAATCCATCCTCAGTAT